GCCCGTATTTAGATAAACAGTAAAAACTAAAATAATATTATTGTGAATACATTGTAAAATGTCATTTCCTGTCATGCAGAGCTGAATTATCAGCATCATTACTCCAGTCTTCAGTGTCACATGATCCTTCAGAAATCATTCTAATATGCTGATTTGCTGCTCAAGCAACAGTTATGATTGTTATCAATGTTGAAAACAGTTGTGCTGCTTCATATTTTTGTGGAAACCATTATGTAGATTTTCAAGACTTTTGATTAATAGATGATTACATTTGATGAAAAGTTCAAAAGAACAACATTTATTTAAAATAAACAATTGCTTTTTAATAATTTAAAGCAATCTTGCTGAATAAAAGTATTAATTTCTTTCAAAAAATAAAAAATAACTTTTGAATGGTAGTGTACATAGAATATACACTAGAGGACCTTTAAGTAAACAGCAGAAAGGTGCTAACTAAATATATTTTTATATAATTATTATATTTTTATAAATATATATTTTTTATATAAATAAATAATTAGTATAAATAATTAGTGTAAATATATAATTAGTATAAATTACATTATTAATTTATAAATATATATATGTATATAATATGATATTTGTCTATTCTGAATAAAATACTTATGACAATAATTAAAATAATTATGAAAACTCTCCTGTTCAACGGCATATACACAAAATGCACAAAAAGGAAAGACTTTAAATACTTCCTGCCCTAACTTCCAATTTCAAATAAAAAACACAGGTGAGAACATGCATAAGCCATAATTTAATGGGACTTTTAACCTTAAAGGAGTAGTTCACTTTTAACTCACCCCCCTGTCATCCAAGATGTCCACGTCTTTCTTTCTTCAGTCGAAAAGAAATTAAGGTTTTTGATGAAAACATCCCAGGATTTTCTCCATATAATGGACTTCAATGGGGTCCAAACGGTTCAAGGTCCAAATGAGAGTTTCAGTGCAGCTTCAAAGGGCTATAAACGACACCAGATGATGAATAAGGGTCTTATCAAGCGAAACGAGCGGTCAGTTCAAAAATAAATTAAAAAGTTTAAGTTTTAGAAGCACAAATGCTTGCCTTGCTCTGTTCTGTGATGAGCGTTCGTGACTCTACTGATCGAACTCGTTCATCAAAATGAACAAATATTTTTTCGAGTCATGACTTTAAAGGATGTCCTAGATGTCCTAGACTAACAGTCATGAGTCCCCTTTTTCATCGTCTGGTGTCGTTTAAAGCCCTTTGAAGCTGCACTGAAACTCTCATTTGGTTCCCATTGAAGTCCATTATATGGAGAAAAATCCTGGAATGTTTTCTTCAAAAACCTTAATTTCTTTTCGACTGAAGAAAAAAAGACATGGACATCTTGGATGACATGGGGGCGAGTAAATTATCAGCAAAAGCTTTTTTAAAAGTGAACTAATCGTTAAGTCTTGACGTTGAGATAAATCTTCACGTCTATATATATATATATATAAACCAACAGAATCCTCAATTCAACAAAGCCCGTCACTCAAACCCTAAACGTGGCTAGAAGCAAATCTGGTCGAGCTCCTAACAAGTCAGCACTGCCTGGTAAATGAATAGAAATGCCTTTAGCTGCTAATGAGGAGTCCCGACCGCATTGATCGGACTCGTACCTTGATCAATCACGCAGGCCTCCTTGAACGTTTTGATAAATGAGGGGTAATCGCGCCAGTACAGATCGATGAAATCCTCCTGCTGTAGGTCCCTAATGAAATGAGAGAAAAAATGATTAGTTGGTAACAGAGTCGTCAGGCAGTCAATATATACACTAATACTGGTATAAAAGCCAAACCAGAGCATGACTCACACGGCACAGTTTAATACGCCTCTGATCAATGAGATCTGTGGTTTGGTCGCTGTACATCTGAAAGACTAGCGTGGTATTCACCAATATTGTGGATATCACAATGATGTTAATATGCTTTTTATTTGTAAATACTAAAATGTTTGGATTTGTTTAAACAGGATCTATCTTTGGGTGCGAAAGCCGGTTCCTTTCAGTTTTACCTCAGTCAATGTGTCAATACACTCGCATTAAAAAAGAACATGTACTGTCAAGTTAAACGTTAATTAATAAGCGAGATATTTTTTATCAGGAATGACTTGAGAGAACAGGATGGTTGCAAATGGACTGTCTGCTCATCTACCAAACTAAATCTAAACTAAGTATACACACACAAACCTGTGTTGAACACATAACAAGAGTAAAGATCTTAAAGAAAGCTGGATGACTTTGATGTTACTGATTTTAAGTGTTTTCATGAATGTCTGTCAGCATTTTTTACATTAAAAATGACCTCAGTAGATTTGCACTTGTATTTTTCTAAGATTTTACATGTTTTTGACTCTATATGAAAATAGAAGATATAGAATATACAAAATACATGATGTGATGTATTAAATATTAGAATATACAAAGGTTATAGCATCAGGAAGGGTGATTCGGGGAGAAAAGAATGAAATCTAATAATATCGGTAATATCGTTCTGTTACAGTTTCTAGTGATAATTTCAAAGAGACAACGTAGCAAAAAATAATAGCAGGTAAAATTGTGGGACATATCTTGCCCCGTGTTTCAAGAATAAATGGTTTGTTTGGTTGAAATGATGGTTGAAAGGTGGAGATATGCATCCAATATTGTGAAAAGACTTAATCATAATATGGCTGGACTATCATAAGATTATTACTTATAAATATTGCCCAGCCCTAAAGCTGACCTACAAACAACAGGGGCAAACAATGTACACGAGCCAAAGACTCAGTACTCAATAGCGGATTATGGGTATAGTGTATTATAATTCAATGCTTTTAAATTTCAAGCCCACATGGGTTTATCAAACAGCAACCAATTAAACTCTCACTGCTGTTTTTTTGCCTCCACATGACAGCATGCACTTGACATTTTAATAAACAATGAAAAACATTACAGCTATTTACCCATTCATATTTAGAATACGCCACAAAGAAAAGCAGCGATGACAATGTGAAATGGGAGGTTTGAGGAGTTGGGTGACTTTACTTGGTTAGGAGCCTAGTGCATGTGCATGAGTAAGAGAAAACATACGTTTTGGTCACTTCATTAATTATTATTTCTAACAGGCCAAAAATATATACATATATATAATTACTTGGCCAGCTGTTGCAGCAGACCAACCAGAGCTCTCGCCCCGCTCCGCTGTAGCTCATCCAGCTTCAGGTCTTCATAGAGCAGGTGCAGGACGTAGAAGAGCACCGGGATATGTGGGAAGAGGAGGGCGGATGACTCCAAACCCACAGAAGACTCTTGGTTCTTCACTCCACCAGGGGGCGACACCGACTCCAGGCCTTGAACGGCCACCGCAGGTAGCATGGAAATTTGCCAATGGTAGTCGGAGCAACGGAGGTATGCCCAATCCTGTTGATGTCAGAACAGATGTAGACATATCAACAAACCATTGGAGAATAAATACCCTCAAAACATCCCCGACAGGAACTCAGTGGAGGGCTGATACATGTTATACACACTATTAACACTGACGTTGAAAAGTTTGGAGCCAATTTTTGTGTGTTGTTAAAACATTCCAGTCTTCAGTGTCACATGATCCTTCAGAAATCATTCTAATAGGCTGATTTCCTGCACAAGAAACATTGAAAAAAATGTTTTTCAAATATAAATCATTTCTAATTGCTTTTGATCAATTTAATGCAAACGTTTGAAGCCCAAACCCCAAACGTTTGAACGACAACGTATATATTTTTATAATCCTTTCTGTAAAACACAAATCTAAAGCAACATTTCGACCTTCAACTTGCAGTTCAAGCTGATCCAGAGAACAGATGACCATAGGGTCTTTGACCCCGACCTTTGCCTCTGGCATGTCTAGGGTCACTCACCTCATCTGAACCCGTGTCAGCGGGACGGGCCTTCTTAGGGGCTATTACTGGAGAGAGAGGCACTTCAAAATGAAGCTGTGGAGATGACAACTGTGTTAATGAGCATTGAGGACAGACAAGTGTTCATTCACCAATTGGAAACTTCACTATCAGCCATCGTATAATACAAAGATGTACAATTATAATTTTGTATTTTGTTTTGACAAATTAATAAATAGTGTTTTGTTTTAATAAAGTTTTTTGTTTTGAGAGTTAAAATAAACAGTGATTTTTTGATAAATAAATAATTTGTAAAAAATTATATATTTAAACAAAATAAAACACATTTTTTTATATTTATTTATATATTTATTTAAACAAAATTATATGAAATGCATGCATGCAAGGAAATAAGATCTACAAAACACTTTACATAATTCATGCAAAAAAGAAAATTCATAAAAAAATATTTTTAAAAAATATTTATATAAATAATAAATAAATAAATAATATAAAAAATATTTGTAAAATTATATATTTATTTAAACAAAATTATATGAAATGCATGCAAGCAAATAAGATCTACAAAACACTTTACATAATTTATGCAAAAAAAGAAAATTCATTAAAAAAAATATTTAAAAATTGAGATTGTACTGGCAATATAAAATCAATAATGACCATTTAATCATGTTTAATGTGTAGTAAATAGTTTTCTGTGCTTACCTGACTAACTTTAAAACAACATTTAACTATAATCATCTTAAAACTCAAAAAAGAACATTTAAAAGGGTTTAAGTAAATTGTGCTTTTAAGTACATTTTAAATTTCGTGTCAAGTTTTCGTTTATTTAAATTCTAAAGTGCTAAAACAAGTCCCTGAAAACTCTCAGCGTTGCCCAAGGCTATCGAACGCAAAGACAGACACAGAGGTCAGACCAAAAGAGACACTCACGTTGCGTGTCCACGTCAGTCGTTCTGTGTTGTAACCCATCATTGTCATTAGGCATGTAACAAACAAGTTCCACTCCAGGTGCATGCTGGGACCTCCAGGGGCGTTGTAACTGTTGTACCACTTAACCAGCACTTTCATGGCAGTGTCCTTGGGTAAAATAAACCTGACGGCCTGCAGGCAACGTTTGACTGTGGGAGTGAAAGAAAGATCAGCTGTTAATAACAAAAGTCACCATCACAATGGTAAGGTGATATTCTGTAATATTTTAGTCCCTAGAAAAGGCTTGAGTGCCTCCTGAATAAAGTGAATCAATTATGAAATCAATATATAGTGTCATCATCATACAACTCAATTCAGTTCAAGTTTGGTTTTCATCTGATGGGATCAGTGTAGTCAAATCTATAATATTACTGAATATTAAGAATCTTTTAACCCCTCGCAGGCCTCTTCTGAGTCAATTTGTTTGTTTCACTCATTTCATAATTCATCAGGCAGAATCACTTGGTAAGTAACACAGTACACCTTTCTTTAATAATTCATGTCTGAAGCTTAATAAGAAGTGGTAAAACTTTAAGATAAGGTTCATTAGTCAACCAACAATACATTTGTTACAATATTTATTCATCTTTGTTAATGCAAGTTGCTAAAAATACAGCTGTTCACGTTAGTTCACAGTGCAAAATACAATTTTTGATATTAATACCAATAAACAGCGGTTAACTAATGAACCTTATTGTAAAACTTCACCGAAGTAGTAAGAAGTGTAATAACCAATTGTTATAATGATGCTTGCTTTAGCAAACACCGCTAATGCATGTTTTTAGTCAGCTGTCACCACAGATCTCTGATGAATTAATACCATAATATTAGATTAACATTAAAAATAACATTAAAACATCATTTTTAGGTCATATCGCCCACCCTCCTGTGTGTACATCAAAAGTAAGTGTAGGTGACGATAATGGAGATGAATGCCGTTCTATTGAAGGGTGCACACGGAGGGGGCCGGCGCTTCAAAGGACACAGCCGGAGCTGGAACACACATCTGAGCGAGGGGGTGGAGAACACGGGGGAACCGAGCGAAGCAAGGGACACTACACTTGAGGGGGTTTATGGATGACTGTTTGCCAGACTGCTCGACTGCGTGACACGGGGGCTACAAGACCGGATACAGAGAGGAAGAGGGTGGAGGGATGCACGGGGTTTGGTTTGATTGGATTTCATAAGCAAGATTTTTTTTAACCTTGATATGGTTTGTTGAGCAAAACCCTTGTTATGTACCAACACTGTAAAAAAATATTTTCATGATTTTTCATTTTTCTTTTGTCAAATCAACTTCAGATAACATATAATTTTGAGTTTCTGATGATTAAATCAATCTCCTTCATTATATTAACTCACTTTTTTCATTTCAATGAACTTAAAATTAAAGGGATAGTTCACTTTGAAATTAATTTTTGACATGTTTATCTTACCTCAAGGGCATCCAAGATGTAGGTGTCTTTGTTTCCGCAGTATTTTCAATTTTGACATTTTTCAGTCAAACCGTTGTTGTCTATCAGTCATATAATGGAGGCTAAAGCATGCACAGAGAAGTCAAAATTAAACATGATTTAATGACTCGTAAATGTAAGTACACATTGATGGCCTAAGACACGAAACGAGCGGTTTTTGTGAGAAAACGAACAGTATTTATTAGGGCTGGGTAATAAATATCGATTTCTCGATATTAATCGATTCTCATTTTTACAAACCGATATCGATTCTTAAATCTCAAGAATCGATTAGTCATCCTGTTTCATTTGAATGAATGGATCATTGTATCGCGGCTGTGCACATCCAACAAATCGCAATAATCTTTGTCCTTTGTTACTATTGATATGAAACAAAGTCTCAATTTTCAAATTACGTCCATTTTCTTTAGAAATTCAAAAACATAAAAAGCGTTTTGCCGTGTTGGCGCTGTGGCGTGAGATCGCTCTGGAGAAGCAGCAGCGCTGATCTCACTTCCGGGTTAATAATACCAGTCACAGCGCCAAATAAACATGAATGAGCATCTGAAAGTGTGTTAAAGATAGAGTACAACTTATCAAAATCCGTATCATGTCACATTGATTCGCTCAATCAGCGTTTCAACCGTGGAAAGACGTCAGTTAAACAGCTTGTAATCAATGTCATCGTCATATTTACCTCAGAAAACCCACATAAACTCGTTAGTCCACACTCGTTAGTGTTCTTCAATATTTAATGCATATTTGAATAAATATGGCAAGTTTTTTATGACAGCCACCATTTAAATGTTTATATTTCATATAATCTTCTTATTATAAAAATAAATAAAAGTGTAATTTAAGTGTTTGTATAGCTACAAAACAGTTCATTATTAGCTTCATATTAGGCTAATGAAGCCTAGTAGGCTACAGCTAGAATATATATATATATAGACCATAGTTTACAGCATTAGTTAAGAGATTTGATTCCCTTGAGAAAAATTGCCATTTATTGTAACTGATATCCAAAATAATCGATATCGAATCGTAATCGAAATCGGATCGAATTGCAAGCTTGTGAATCGAAATCGAATCGAATTGTGAAATTTGTCTCAATACCTAGCCCTAGTATTTATATAGATTTTACCTCGTGTAATTCAAGTGATCTGAATCAGTTGTTCAATGTCCAACTGAACCGAACTGAATCAGTTCAATGTTACGCCGGAAGTGATCGCTTGCGTGTGACGTCACTCAATATTTACACGGAGATTTTAGAAGTTTTACCTTTAATCGTCTTCCGTTGCGGTTTCCTGTATATCTAAATGTGTTTAGTGAAAGGTAAAACTTCCGAAATCTCTGTATAAACGAAGAGTGACGTCGGCGCGCAAGCGATCACTTCCCATGCGACCCGTGCCGTCAGATCATTTTGTCATGGCTATGATTACAAGAGGTAAAAACAATATAAATACTGTTCGTTTTCTCACACAAACCGCACGTTTCGTGTCTTAGGCCATCAATGTGTACTTACATTCACGAGTCATTAAATCATGTTTAATTTGGACTTCTCTGTGCATGCTTTTTGGTGGACCCCCTTAGCCTCCAGTGTATGACTGATAGAAAACAACGGTTTGACTGTCAAAATTGAAAATACTGTGAAAACAAAGACATCTACATCTTGGATGCCCTTGAGGTAAGGTTTGACTGAAAAATGTCAAAATTGAAAATACTGTGGAAACAAAGACACTTTTGAGGTAAGCTAAAACATATCAAAAATTAATTTCAAAGTGAACTATCCCTTTAAAGGGTTAGTTCACCCAAAAATTAAAATTAAGTCATTAATTACTCACCCCCATGCTGTACCAACCCCGTAAGACCTTCGTTCATCTTCGGAACACAAATAAAGATATTTTTGATTGAATCTGAGGGCTGGATCACTCTTCCATAGACAGCCTGAGGGACTGCCTCTTGACGGCCCAGAAAGTCATTAAAAGAAAAGGTTTAAATATTCCATGTGCCTACAGTGGCTCAACTATAACTTTATCAAGCGACGAGACTACTTTTTGTGCGAAAAAAAAAACGTAAATAACGACTTTATTCGACTTTCCATTACTTCCTTATGGGCGCATGCGCCAGAACTGAGACGAGACCGTATAAGATGACGTACTGCTTGTAAACAGAACGTTTTGCGCCTCCGGCTATATCAGTACGTCATCTTATACGGTAGGGGGCGGTAAAACTCCTAAGCGGTGAGCAGCCGGTAACAAAAAGTAGTCGAAGAAGAACGGTCTCGTCTCAGTTCTCGCGCATGCGCCCATAAGGAAGTAATGGAAAGTCGAATAAAGTCGTTATTTACGTTTTTTTTTCGCACAAAAAGTAGTCTCGACGCTTGATAAAGTTATAGTTGAGCCGCTGTAGGCACATGGAATATTTAAACCTTTTCTTTTAATGACTTTCTGGGCCGTCAAGAGGCAGTCCCTCAGGCTGTCTATGGAAGAGTGATCCAGCCCTCAGATTCAATCAAAAATATCTTTATTTGTGTTCCGAAGATGAACGAAGGTCTTACGGGGTTGGTACAGCATGGGGGTGAGTAAATAATTACTTAATTTTCATTTTTGGGTGAACTAACCCTTTAAGGCAACCAGGTAACTTCATTTTTTAAGTTAAACTAACAATTTTTTCTTACAGTGAATACTGAATACAATATGGAGGGAAAAGTAGTAAAAGCGAGTAAAAGTAGTTTTTTGTTCACAGCTAAACATAAATTAGTGAGATCTAAAATGGCATTTTTCACTTCTTTCATTGTATTTGTTATCGTTCAGCGTCACGCCACCAAACACAGTGACTTCGCCTAGAGCTTAATTAGCAAACAAACTCCAAAAGGTCAGGATGGACCTGAATAAAATGTCACTTTATTAGTGGTACAAAGCCCACCACTTTCAAACTGAAGCACTTATTAACAGGAAGCTGGCATTAATTGAGAAAATTGTAAAGAAAGCTGGATTGGGTAGATGCCGCACGCAATCAGTCTAAGACGAAAGGCCAAGAAAATAAAAAAACTAAAATGAATCCGCCACGGGAAACGTGCACCCGCAAGTTGGGATGCGAGCACTGTTTGTCCGTCTAAGTCACCGCCGTCATGCTAGCATGCTTTGGGTGGTTTCTCAGTGGAGAACATTATAATTGTTAAAGTCATTAGAAAAAGTAATGGCAAACAGCTTTAACGACATGAGCAGACCCTAAGCATGTATCATGTGTACTTCCTGAAATAATTATAGCAAACACATTAGAAAAGGTCAAATGTCTAAATGTAGAAAGTGGCAGGAATGACTCACATTTTTACTTCGCAGAAAACACAAGTGCGTTCATTAGTGACAGATCCTTGAGCACATCATTTATGCCAAATATGAGCTCTACAAAATAACTACAAAAAATCCTGATAGGTCTCATAGGAGTGGGAGTGTGGCTGGAAAAAACGGCAGTGTTAATCTCACATCATGGAGGTAATTAAACAAGTTTCATTTCATAATACTACTAAATAATACTGTTAACAAAAATGACAAGAAAAACATTTTCTCTAGAAAAAAAAAATTATTTCAAATATTCCAAAATTAGATTAAAATTTATGAATAGGACATGACAAAATATTCTTTACAAAAATAACTTAATTTAAAAAATAAATAAAATAGCAAAAATAATTTAATGCATTAGCTAACAATGAGCATTATCTTTTTAAAGCATTTTTGTTAAGGTTACTTAAAAGAAATAAAATAGTTTGCTTATGTTATTATTGTTAATGTTAGTTCATAGTGCATTAAATAATAGTAATTGAATCTATTGTCTTGACATTTACGTTAAGGATGCGCTGGGACCAGCCCGTCTGGCACCAAGAGCCATGCCACGCTCAAAATTGCTTAAATCTTTCCCATTCTGACATTTAGTTTGGAGTTCAGGAGATTGCCTTGACCAGGACCACACCCCTAAATGCATTGAAGCAACTGCCATGTGATTGGTTGATTTGATAATTGCATTAATGAGAAATCGAACAGGTGTTCCTAATAATCCTTTAGGTGAGTATAGACAGAGCCCGTCTAACGGAGAGCCTTGGCCCTTCCTATTAGCCCTATTGTGTATCATCCTGGTTGCAGTTCCATTGGAATTCCACTGGAGGTGATCGCGGGCGAGAGCAGAATGAATGGGAGTCTATGGGGCTAAACGGCTTAATGTGTCTCTTTCACCTGCTTGACGTTAAATTAACATCGATTTTATTGTTGATTCCGCAAGTTCAATATAGATTATAGGCCAAAAGTCGAATGAACGAGTACTTTTGTCCTTTTGATTTCTTACAGGTTAGGCCGTTGTTGGCCGGAACACGCTAGCATTCTGCTATTGTGTGACGTCATCACATTTTTGAACGGATTTTTAGAACAGATAAGTGAACTTAAAAAATGCAATTTTCAGCTGAGTGTATTATCTTAGCCCTCCCTTTTGAATGCAACTTTCAAATTACTTGACAAAAAATTACATCCTGAGAAAAGTGGATTTATGGGGGTGAAACCCCATTGACTCCCATTCATTCTGCACTCGACCGCGAGCGCCCCCGCATGGACAGAGACGCGTTACTGCAGCCAGTCCAGAAACCGGAAGTAACCAGCCAGTGGCAA